TCGTGTGAACGGTTCAAAACGATTTGCCGTTCTCGTGTAAACGGTTTGAAAACGATTCGAGGACAGCCCGTTTTCGTTCCGTTTCGTAAACGCAGCCTAAGGTCGATCCATCTATTCAAACGAGAAAGCACTTCACAACTCAGGTGGGCAGGAATAGTAGTAGAATGCGGTTGCGCAGGCTTGTTTTTGTTTCTGAACATTCAAGCCATACCGACGCGGATCTCGTGGATAAGATAGTATTAATATTATTAAAGCAATCGGTTACTTACTCACTGCCATGAAAATGATGCAGAAGGTGTCATGCGCGACTTTCAGACAAGGCTGACTGTCAACCGTTTCTTATAGGGCTGAATTCCGCCACAGGTCGTAACAGAGGGTGAAAGGTGAAGCAGTTAACGACGTGAGCACTTGTAAAACACCAGAGCAGTGGACATTAGGAACTGATAGAGATACTGTATCAAGTTCAATCAATTCTTGTTCGGCTCCATGCCTTTACGGTCGCCTTTTTTTAGACAGTATCTATATACCATTTCAGTTTTTTTTGGTTTCTCTCCAATGACAAGAGATCCCAAGGCTCTTCGTCTACAGCGTATGTTGTAGGAGCGGTAGTTTGAGGCAAAGGAAAGGGACAGAATCGGTTCTAATTCACAAGTATAGTCTCACCCTTCTTCATTTTACTTTAGCACTATATTGATTCTCGTAACACATTATTGAATGGATACTTAACCATTGTTCTGCATGAACATTCTTCAGCCACGACATTCCATTGATGAATGTGACATGAAAATATCGATAAAAAATTAATGGTGTCAATGTTGTGGGGCGATGAAATCAGAATTGGTTCTCTTTATTGCTATCTTAAAATCTCACGCAGAGTAAGTACATCGCTCCTGCCCTTGTACAATGTACCAGTTGAGCACTCTCCTGCGGGGTGATTTGTGTTATGCTGAGCTCACTAAATTTCGATTTGAGCACTCTGGCAAGCTACGTTGGAGAAAAATCATTGCTTTCAGGTTTCGACTCGCTTTCTATGTGCTGCGAGGACGAGTCCACAAGGGACGACATAGTTCTGTTCTCAGATTCTGGAACAACTTGATTATTGGTTGAGAGTGCGTGTGTATATGAATGTTGGTGCACGTGTGTTTCTTCATGTTGTCGACTACACTTTCCCTTTCAAGCGTTATTACCTCAGCTATGCCAGTTTTGTATACGGAAACCTTTATAATAGCATTATTTTTAATCATTCAACATCTACCTTCAGTGATGAGTTATGTATTAGCGAAACAGCTGTCTGAGGGAGTTTATCAATATCGTCTATGGAAGTGTCCTCGCAATGGTGATGGTTGTGTGCAGGAGGGTCTAGTCGGCAAAAGAGCGCAGTGTAATGGTGGAGGTGACTCAAAGTTTTCTTTAATGGCCGAGAGCTCTGTCGCACCGTGTAATGACCTGTCCTAAGGCTATTTTATTCGCCAAAGCATTTGGAAGTAGGACTAGTCTTGGCTCCAAGGTACTATAATAACCTAAAGGTTCCCGTGCATCTAGAGTCTGCTTACTAGTATATCAAAGCAGAGTGCTGTCTATACTGGTTACCTAAGGAAGTGTAGCGTGTGCATAGGTAACTGTCTTGGCTGTTTTAGGCTGCTGTACTCCTTGTTGTGTATTCCAGGTGTCATTAGTGGTCGATTCACATGGCCTCGCCGGTTGTGTGGATTGAACAGTTATCTGGCGCTAATCTTGATGTGTCTCATTCAGATCATGTTCGCTGCTGTTGCTATAATACACGCAAAGGAAAAATCTGCTGGCAGCCGTCTGGTCAGGATGTTGCGCAGCAGTTTACTACTACTAGTACCATGCTGTTCACGAATTTTTGAAAGTGGCTTCATGCGCATACATGTTCGTGGACGTGGAGCAATATCTGCCCATGCTTTCATCACAAAGGCCATAGTGGCTAATATGAAGTGTTGCTGGTTCCATTGACGCGCGCACGCAACCTAATGACAGGTGCTTGACAGAGTCTCAAACCACACGCACGTTCTAGTACCAAGTTCACAATCATAATCACTGTACAAAATTAGAAAGCGGAGCTACATTATGCTTCCCTCTGTGAACTACATGGATAATGCTAACCCATATGGAGCTTTGCTCTGGACTGTCCACTTCCCTGACAATGCTTGGTGGTCACGTAGGGCACACAGCGCTCCCTGATCTCTCTTTGCAGTCATTCATAAAATGTAAATCACATAAAATTATAGGCTACAACACCCCATGACTTCCGTGACACGAGAATAATTTTAATACCTACAACATACTGCAGAATATAGCACACCTTGTGTAGTAAATCCCTCATACTGTGAGTAGAGAGGGCTAACAAATTCATGAGATCAGGGTGTAGAACATAGCACAGTACAAAAGCAACGCGTCACGGGTATCACGGCACCCTGACACTCCGCGGGCACTGGATTAATCTTACTGTAACTAGAAGAGCTCGGTGGGGCGATTTTAACCCTCTTTCCTTGTTTTAGGGTACAAATTGACCCGAGGGGTTTTTTTGGTATCATATTCTTGGTTTAGTCTCGTAATAGCTTCCCGAAAAATGTCGGTTTTCTTAAAAAAACTAGATATCAAGGAAAGGACTCGGATGGAGAGCCATGGATTAAGTCACACAAAAGAGGAGGGACCAAGGAAATGCAAGTTACGCTAAACTACCCACTTATTCCACTAACACCACCAGTTACTAAACAATCAGCTCATGCGATAACATTGCACGATACTGACCGACCGTACTGACGTTCTACAACTAACTGGGTAACAGCTCTAGGACATCTTGGATGCGCACGCCAACAGTCTTCCAACTAACTTGGAAGGTTCTAATTTATAGCGTGACTTGTGGTTCTATGGTGCTTTCTCTTTTGTATAAACTAGATATCCGTGATAATAATAATTCTTGAATGGTCTAAGTTGTATTACGGAAATCAGGTGTAGGTTCCGTTAGGACCCCAGGAAGAACACCACATCGAAGACTGGTAAAGAAGTTCAATTTTTTGATCACCTATGGTTGGACTCTCCTCGATTTAATATGACATGGATGTTTTAGGGAGTAAATCAGAACTATGAAATCATCCTGCACAACAACAGCACAAAAACTACGATTTAGAATCACGACAAATTGTGTTCATCAAGCGAAAGCCGCAATGGTGCGTCATGGGGCGATTTCATGTCAATCATAAAATGCTTAAGGCAACCACCACGGACCGAGGTGCAGCCATCTTGCTCATCTGCGAGGATATCCAAAAGAAAGGAAAGTGGCGCCGCAAAGCAGCAGGGGGCAAGGATGTGAATATCGTGCTGATCGTGGACAAGCCACTCGTTGGTCGATTACTCCTCCGTATTCGAAGCCTATTTTTTTGGGGCAAAAGAAACCCAATGAATGAAAATGCAATACAAATGTAATGCAAACCAGAAATCCAGAGAACGACAAAAGGTAACCCAAAAGAAAAGGAAAAGATGTGTGATTTACACTATGTATGTGTTGTACTTGTGTCACCACTCCAAAACTACAGCAGCACTTAATACAGATTGAAATACATCTAAAATCGTAAAACTAAGACAAACAACACGTCACATATACCCCACCACAACCGCCAACTCTCGGAGTGCATTGACTGGACAGTGGTAAGCCGAGCGGGAGCCGCGGATGCACATTATGGCAGCTCTTAGCAGAGCAAATGCTAACTGAGTCCGGATATACCACATAATTTCTCCGTATTTCTTGTTGTCGTTGGTAGCCAGAATACCGCACAAACGCTTGAAGAATCGGTTGGTTTCTGGCGACGTACATCCGGTGGTGATTCCCACGGGGAACCAGGTTGATGATTCCGTCTCCGCATCTAGGGCTGTTTCAAAGGATAGCACAAGGCCAGTGTGGATAGACGAAAACGTCTTCCACCAAAAGTCCTGAATCGTGTGCCGTCCATGGGCTTTTAGGTGTAAGTTTTCTCCAAGATCTCGCGGAGGCCCCCCAGACCATGACATGGTCGTGTTGTTATATCTCCTCCCACTGTCTCTCCAAATTAACAAGCCAGTACCCCCACCTAGCGCCACAGTTCGTTCCAGAAGAAATGGCCTAAACTCAGTAACAGCCTCAGGCCTTGGGTATGTAGAAAACCTACACACAGGTGGCTGCTTTGGAAATTCCGTAATTCCGTATACTGTAGCTGTTCTTGTGGCTGTTGTAACGTACATCTACTGGTACAATAGCCACTGCGCCATTCTGTCTGTGCGGGATGTTCACTACAGTGCAACTGCGAACCAGACACGAGATCATTGGACCTCCGCCCAAATGGGAAAAACTCGACACAGGCATCACCTCACGCCGCGGCCTCCTTGGCACCTTGACCTGTCAGTTTGCATTGATAATGGACGGATGGTTAGCGGTCTGTCATTCTGGTCTAGGTACTCTGGTCTGGAGATTTGCTGGGACATTTGCTTGCCACGGAGTGCTGTAAGCGGCCGGTAATGCATCATAGTGCCAGTGAATCTGCATATCAGCATTCTCAGTCAGATTGGTAAACACAGGACGGAAGGGGATATCTTTGAGTACCGTTTTTATTCACATACAGCACAGATCCGATAAGGGCACACTGCGCGCATACTTCAAAAAGCACAAATGAGAATCTCTAGTGAAGGTACATGCGCTTTACACGCTTTGTTGGAACTAAGGATGAAAAAACATTTCTCAAAACGCGAAGACTGCACTGTAGCCTTCCACTATATCCATACATCTTCACTCTGCAAACGGTCTCTGGGCTGCACCAATCACTAAAACACATCGAATATCAAATGTATTTCTTTTAGTGATTGGTGTAGCCTAGAGACCGTTTGGAGAGTGGAGATGTAAGGATAAAAATCTTTCAAAAAATAAACACGAACGCGGCAAAGTATACACGACATTAGAGAGGAAGGGCCTCTAAAAAAGACACGGCTCATAAAAATTCATTGAAAATAAAGGACGCGTGCAAGGACTAGAGAAAATACAGTAGAACGTTTGCTAAGATTACTGATAAATAAAGACAGTGCTAAGTGTTTGCACCAAGACGAGCACGTCCGTGTCGGAGGATCCGGGGCTGAGAGGCATCTTCCACTTCAGCGGTAAGGAACAGGCAGGCAAAATTCATTCCACACATTGTGTGTTCTTTGGTTGCTTCCCGACCTGGCCCTAAATCCATTCATTGCAAGTATACGGTATTTCATCGCACAGCAAAAACTATTGTGATATCTAGAATGGAGGTTTGTAAACCGTGGTGTGCATTTGAAAGCACTGGTTTATTTATTGTGTTCAGCTACCATGTAGTGATTGTTCTAACTGCCCGAACAATATATTCGGTTGGATCCCCTGAAACGAATACTTTCCCTATTGATAGCTTGATGATTTCCTACCACTCTCAACCAGTCATATCATAAGCCATGACTGTGCTTGATGAACAACAAGTATAATGAGGGCGAGGGGGGGGGACGTAGGCTAGTTGATACATTCTTCCAACGCGGAAAGCTTGTGCAATCTCAATATCCCAATCCTCATCCTGAAGTGAAGCATAGGTATAGTTAACGACAGGTATTTATAATTTTTTGTGTAGATCGATCTGCCTCACTCCAACGTTTATTTCTACGCCTGTCCCTGCAGTTGTTTGTTAGTGGGTGAAGTGGGCGTGTGTGCGTGTGTGTGTGTGTGTGTGTGTGTGTGTGTGTGTGTGTGTGTGTGTGTGTGCCTGTGTGTGTGCCTGTGTGTCTGTCGGTCTGTGCCTCGTGAGGCTCTGTGGCAGACATTTCTTCGGCTCGGTGGATGTGGCTCTCGTGCAGACGTTCCACATGGACATGTCGGCGTCCTTTCGTGTTGCTGGTAGTTGTACCGATCCGATCTCTGCACAAAATGGTTTGCGGCAGGGGTGCGTCATCGCTCCTATGCTGTTCAACCTATATTTCGGATTGGTGATGGAGTGGGGGTCTGAAGTCAGGGAGCGCGGCATTGAGTATGGTGTAGATTTCAGCTTCTTGATTGATGGGCAGTTGTTTCCCCGTGTGGCTGGGCGGCGTCGAAAGTCTCAGACTGGTCATGCTGATGATTTTGAGTTTTCCGATGACGCTGCCCTAATCGCAACAACTTGTGCTGCAGCCGACGTCTCCCTATCCGCCTTCTGCCTCACGGCAAGCATGACCTAATGGTCGCGGCTACAGACTCGTTGTCGAGGATTGTTCCGATCTGGCAGTTGGCAATGAAAAGGTTGGAGTTGTCACCACCTTCCTCTATCCTGTTGATGTCCAGAGCTGCCTTGCAAAGGATGCTAGGGCTTTTGGCTGTCTTCGGCAGGTTTTGCATGACCAGAGCCTGAACCCGCCTAATCAACGGCATTTATACGTGGTATGTGTTCCCCCCACGGTTTTGTATGGCTCGGAATGTTGGACCCCATTGAAGTCGGACTAGGACAAGCTGGACAGGTTCCATCACGCCAACCTCCGGTCAATCTTTGGCATTTCGCGTGGCCGCCAGAAGGGAGCAACTCATCACATTTGAGCAACTGCGCGCACAGTGGGGTGACCCTACTCCACTTTCGTGCATGGTACAGCGAAGAACGCTTGGAGTGGGCTACACACCCAGCTCGGCTTAATGACAATCAGTTACCCAAGCAGTTGCTCTTCGCTCATCTCCCCCGAACCCTCCCCGGCGTGATGTCGTGTCGGTAGCAGCGGGGGTGAAGGAGCCTGCCCCGAGGACGAATGTGCGCCACGTTTGCGGCCGCATGTTTCGTGTTCGCTATGACATGGCCTGGCCCTAGTGTACACCAGTCCTGCAGCTCCCCGAATCACAACAGCCTTGGAAGGTTCTAAGTTATAGGAATAACATAAGGAGGGGAAATAAAGGTGAGCGCAACTAAGATAAGCACGAGCTGAAAGTCTCAGCTGTGAAGGCGGATGTTCATGCATGTCGATGACCTTATATTATGTCTAAAATTGCAACCTTTTAAGTGTGAAGGCGTTTGGAGTGCGGAAACCAGAATAATGTCCTAAAGCTGTTAGCCAGTTAGCTGTAGAACGTCAGTACCGTCGGTCAGTGTCGTGCAATGTAATCGCATGAGCTGCTTGTTTAGTAACTGGTGTATATCCCAGAATATATCCCAGCTATCACCTGCTCACGCCGCACAAGTTTACATTTCGTAATGGCCTCGGAATATCAGACGCTTTGCAAGCTCTTCAAAATGCCTCGGCAACCCCTGTGGGCTGTGGAGATTCGGATTTTACCCTTGCTGTAGACATCGCAGGAGAGTTTGAACGTGTCTCACATGTCGGCGTCCTCCACAAGGTGCTTAGTTTAGACATCGATGGTCCGCTTTAGAGATGGTTGGCCTTGTATCTGGGCGCCCATTCTCCACAGTGCCACATTGTAGAGCGGACGTCGTCTACGTATATAATCTCCGCTGGAATCCCCAGGCCAGCATTCTTGGACCAACGGTTTTCCTGTCGTACTTTAACGCCGGCTGTTCTCGCTGACGGAGCCAGCTTCGAGACCTATGCTGATGAAATAACTTTGTACAGCTTAGTCATGTCCCAGCAGACCCTTGAAGTCGCCTCACAGTCACTGCAGGTCTCCTCTCAATCGGGCAGTTTTATCCTGGTTTGACTGTTACCCAACAAGTCCGTTTGAATTGTATTAATTTTTATTCTTCAGCAGAAGCACATCTCACTGTATACATTCGGATCGACAACGCAACAAACCATATGTGTGCACATACATGTTCTTTCTCTTTCCCTCATACTTCCATTAAAGTTTATCTGGCGCGTCCAGATCGTGAAGATGTCGAGACCAGTTGGTCGACGGAGCGCCTGGCCCTAAATGGCTTTTAGTTAACAAAATAGCGTCTAACCCAGGCACCTGCTCTCTCCGTGTTTTTCCTACGTTTCTCGCACAGAAGAACCTCCCTTTTCTTTGCATTGTCTTTATACAGCAGCCAAGCTACTAAAAGTTGACCAGTGCATTATTTTGATTATTAATCGACTCGCATGTCCTGCCATTGTGTTTGTACTCCAGTCCCGGAAGAAGAGATACGCCATGGGTCACCTTAGGAGCTACGTTCTTGCATTGCTGTTGATCAGCGCAAGCTGGCTAAAGATAGATGCCCAGTCATATGTGGGTAAGGATGGAGAAAAGGATCAAGAATTTTTCAATTTTGGCTATTGCAAAAAGGTGGTGCGTAGAACCATGTGTAATGGGTAGCCGAGTGGTAGGCGCGGTGAAATCAACAAGAATTACTTTTATTCTACTTCTTTCAGGTACACACCTGAGATATAATTATTAGTGAAAGAAGAAACGGCAAAATAACTGACTTTCTCTCCGGTGCACACCTGGAGGTTGAATAGCTCGTTATTATCAAAATCTCATCTTCGAGTTAGCTTTCGTAACTATCTAATCTAATCTTCATCAAAACAGAAATGCGCAGCCGCTTTTATGCAGCAGACGACGTACGCTTACATACGGATATACATCAGTCAAGCTCCGTATTAGTTCCGTACTGCATCCGTATTGGTCGGGCAGGGATACTACACCCTCCCTTCCTACAGATTATCACGCCCTCGTGGTTTTCAAAAAATTAGTGAAGAGTTACGAACACAGCGTCAACCGGAAGATGGCAAATTATATCGGAAATGATAACGTTTAGAGTAGACATAAGAAATGAACTGATAACAAATCATAAAGTAGAAGCACACCAGGTTCACACGATCTCACGGGGCCAAAAGGGGAAAGAAATGTCCTCCAAATAGGACCTGAAAAACCACAGCACTCTTGCTGCACAACGCTGGCACAACCCGCCAGGAACATCGCAGGTCAAAAACCGAACTTAATACACTATACCTATAAGGGGCGTTGTCACACACATTATCCCACCTTAGCTGGGTAAGCTGTGGCTCACCATGATCAGAAGCCTACCAAACTAAACTGGATTCACACACTCGCATAAAGGAAGACTGAAAAGAACAGGGAGACTGAAGGAAGAGAGGAAAGAAAATGCCATACCTAGAATCAGCGTTAGTAACCACGGCGGCGGCTGGAGCTACGGCGGAGGGCAAGCCAGGTTTTATCTTCATCTTGGTTGAGCCGGTCAGTCAGAGCGGCTAGCTCGGCGTCAGACAAATGACCTCCCTCCTCGTCTTGAATCGTGGTCTTCACATTGTCGATAGCATTGCTTTGCGCGACGTAAAGAGTGATGGTATAGCCAGGAAGAGTGTTTACGAAAATCTGCATCCCACCACGGAGGCGAAGTACCAAATGAAGAATGGGCTCCTGTTCCGACTGCGTGCCGGCGAAAATCAAACGCTGCTGGTCTTTGGGAATACCCTCCTTGTCTTGGGTACCAGCCTGCCTGTTGTCGTCCTCATCAGCTTCGCCATCACCACCGGTAGTATACATGTAGGTAGCGGGTCGCTTGGAATCGCCATCAGAGTCTCCAGTGTGTGCCGTGCGGAGAGAAGGGTGATCCACGCTAGCACCCTGACTGAGCTGCAGGCTAAAAAGCAGTGCCAGGCCAAGGAAGGCAAGAAACATGATTCTCATCTTTATTCGTCGCACGGAGCTGTAGCGGGTTGAGCCATCGGAATCTGGGGTCGAATCACGTTGTTTTACTTTAAAACTACACCGCTGCCACCAATGTAATGGGTAGCCGAGTGGTAGGCGCGGTGAAATCAACAAGAATTACTTTTATTCTACTTCTTTCAGGTACACACCTGAGATATTATTATTAGTGAAAGAAGAAACGGCAAAATAACTGACTTTCTCTCCGGTGCACACCTGGAGGTTGAATAGCTCGTTATTATCAAAATCTCATCTTCGAGTTAGCTTTCGTTGCTATCTAATCTAATCTTCATCAAAACAGAAATGCGCAGCCGCTTTTATGCAGCAGACGACGTACGCTTACATACGGAGATACACTAAATATACATCAGGCAAGCTCCGTATTAGTTCCGTACTGCATCCGTATTGGTCGGGCAGGAATACTACACATGTGAAGGACACCAAGGTGTTCACCGGACGGGTGAACATTCCACTGCAAACTCTAATTCGTGGTCATGCTGTGCTGATAATCTTAAAAGAGGCGCCTTTGGAATCCAAAGCATTGGTATAGCAAAGGAAAACAAGTACGCAGACTGAAGTACTTTTATAGCTTGTGGGCACTTTGATTCAGTGCATATGTAACATTGTGGATATCTCAACAAACAATATGTAAAAATTGTTGATTTGAAACTCGGATGTTGAGCCATAAATAAATGTAGAAAGGAAAAGGACATATGAATACGAGTTAAGAGCAGCTCTCCATCACTGTAATTGGATACTATATACAGTCAGAAAGTGCAATAGCTAGGCACAACTGACAGAGTACTGAGACATTCGACGTCCTGTTGCCTAGCTTCAACACATCTCCGCAGTGCTAACCGACAGCCTTCCAACTTGGAAGGTTCAAGGTTATGTTAATACCATATAGTATATATAGTATCATGTTACAGTGATGGAGTGTTGCTCTTAAAGGGGAAGTTAAGGCAAAAATTAAAATTTCACCAGTTGTAGTCTTCGGGGTGTTGAGTCGAATGGTCTTGGTCCGAGAAAGCTGAGACGCTCCCTTCCTACTTGAATCCCAATCGAACTCGCGCACTTCCACCGAAACTGGGTGACTGCGCCCTACTAGATGGGGATTTGTATGCAAAATGTCACTAAAAGCGCCATTTCGTTCTTATAAAAGCACGGATGACCGCGATTGGCCCATATGTTGTAGTCGTTTGGACGCTGAGTCGACTGGTTTTGGTCCGAAAAGGCTGCGGTGCAGCATTCCTGCTTTATTCCCAATCGAACATGGTTGAACAAGTGGTCACGTGCTCCTGGGTGCCCAAATCACCTGGTCACCACGCCAGCAGGTGACAACTTTCACACCAAGGTTCACCTCGAGTTCAACTCGAGTGACAGGAGTGCACCCAAAAAAGGTCAAACAGGCTAGTAAGTTGTACCCTGCAGGCACGGTGACCAGCTGACTGGTGTACGCAGGAGCACGTGACCACTTGTTCAACCATGTTCGATTGGGAATAAAGGAGGAACGCTGCATCGCAGCCTTTTCGGACCAAAACCAGTCGACCCAGCGTCCAAAAGACTACAACATATGGGCCAATCGCGGTCATCCGTGCTTTTATAAGAACGAAATGGCGCTTTTAGTGACATTTTGCATACAAATCCCCATCTAGTAGGGCGCAGTCACCCAGTTTCGGTGGAAGTGCGCGAGTTCGATTGGGATTCAAGTAGGAAGGGAGCGTCTCAGCTTTCTCGGACCAAGACCATTCGACTCAACACCCCGAAGACTACAACTGGTGAAATTTTAATTTTTGCCTTAACTTCCCCTTTAACTCGTATCTATATGTCCTTTTCCTTTTTACAATGGTTGATTTGAACAGATTTTCCGAATTTCTGATTACGGGACGGCACCTTTCCTAGACATCATCTTCGCTGTGCTCCAAAGGAATACAGCGCCCAAAGACGCCCATAGTGCCCCCAACAGTGTTGACTACCTTCGTTTAAAAGTTCGGTAATATCCATGGTAATTCCATCTCCACCACATGTGCTTATTGGCCGACCGCCTCGCACAACCAACATTACTCCGAATTTTTTCTTGGTTGCCATCTTCACTAGGTCCGTCAAATCCAGTAGTAATAGTTTTTTTTATGGAGTGTGGCTGGTGAACTGTTCGTGCTGTGATCTGCAAGCGTCGTGTGGTCTCGTCGGGTCAAATGAAAAACCTATTACAACTCCGAATTGTAGCTACTGTAGAACACTGATCAGCCGGACATCAACAATCTGGATGATTGATTGCCCGGATCGCCTAGTCGGGCCGGAAAAATAAAATAGAAGCGTTTTATAAGTTTTTTTGTGATTTTTCCCAGCTGCTGGTGTCCCCGCCTGTGTTTCCACTGCTGAGGTTTCGACTGTTATTTCTGCTGCTATGGCTGGTCGGTCTTTTTTGTGGCACTTCATCTCGCTTTCCTCTTGTGGGGGAGCTTGAGAGACGTTCGTGGCATCGGAATACGAGCGTAGAGCCGGCTGTGGCACCCTTGCTTGCTCATTTGTATTTGGTGACGATTTTGCGTTGTCCTGTGCTGTACGGTTTCCCTTTGTGCAATGAGAAGCCAGGTGGTCTGCTGAGTCACACAATCTAAACGCCTTTGTAGTGTAGCGTACGGAGAATACGTGACCACCAGCTGTCCTGACTCCTAATTTATGACGGAAAAAACAATGCATGCCGAGCAAGGTGGAAGCCTAAATAGCATACACCAGACACCAGCACCTTCAAACATCGTCGGGTCATTACGTATCAAACACGTACCATACAAGCGGCTTTCCCATAAGGACTCAAGCCTTTCAAAAGTGCCTCGTCTGATATCCATACTGGAGTCATCCAGGATCCCACACGTACACTATTTCATGAAATCAACTATTACTTGACATGTTTTCGGTATAGAACACTGTCCTGCTGACGGCGCACTGATATCATGATGAGGTTGCAAAATGTCATTTTCTCCTCTGACTGCATACACTCGCTTCAGGGCGAAATTCATTGTCATCAATGAGATCGTTGAATGCAGGTCAGATTAATTATTCATATCTTTTTTCATCTTTCCCTCGAGTGGGTCTATTGTTATTAGGCAATTGTCTGTTATAGTCACCACTATAAATAAAAATCCAATCCCATCCAATCCAGATATGGCGAAGAAGTAGGTTGCCTTTCGTGCACCGCGGTGTGTCACCGTCCGACTTTCCGTTGCCATAGCCATGTGCATTCATGAAAAAAACACCCGTGAAAACCAGGGAAGAACCAGGTAGTTGCTGATATCGAAGGTCCCTTCGCCAACGTTAATCCCTAATCGGCATTACATATGACACTCTGCATATATGTAGGACTCAGTATAGAGTCCATGCACTATAGGATGTCCAGCACCCTATATAGAGTCCACTGGTCCAAAACCCACTATACAGAGTCCAGGAGTCCACTCAGTTTTGATCAGTTTCATCCTGCCGCGCAATCCCCTATAAGGAGTACATTTTTTCTACAAGTCCCCTTATTCACGGTCCAGGAGTCCATTTTTTCCAGTCACGCCGTCC